TCTCTTTCCATTATACAGTATATCCAGTTGGTTCTACTTTCTAATTTTTCTCCAAATCTGACCCCTTCTCACCACCTCCTCTATTGCCATCCTAGATTATTTGCAGTACCCTCCTAACTGTCTTATTTGCTTCATTCTTGCCCCAAACAAAAGCTGGAGTGGCCCTATTAATACCTATGTCAAATCATGTATTTCTCCTATACTGAAACCCTGAAATGGTTTGGGTGTGTGTCCCCGCCCAAATCTCAGGTCAAATTGTAATCCCCAGTGTTGGACTGTGGGGCCTGGTAGGAAGTGGTTGGATCATGGGGGCGGATTTCCCCCTTGGTGCTGTTCTTATGACAGTGAGTGAGTTGTCATGGGATCTGGATGTTTGGAAGTGTGTAGTATCTCCCCACCTCTCTTTCTCCCGCTCTGGGCATGTGAAGATATGCATGTTTCCCCTTAACCTTCCACCACGATTGCAAGTTACCTGAGGCCTCCCCAGCCATGCTTCCTGTATAGCCTGCAGAACCATGAGACAGTTAAACCTCTTGTCTTTATAAATTACCCAGACTCAGGTATTTCTCTTTTTATTATTTGTATTTATATATTTTTTTTCTTTTTCAACTTTTATTTTAAGTTCTGGGGTACATGTGCAGGATGTGCAGGTTTGTTACATAGTAAACATGTGCCATGGTGGTTTACTGCACAGGTCAACCCATCACCTAGGTATTAAGACCAGCATGCATTGGTTATTCTTCCTGATGCTCTCCCTCCCTGCAACCCTTACAGGCTCCAGTGGGTCCTGCCCCAATGTGTCCATGTGTTCTCACTGTTCAGCTCCCACTTACAAGTGAGAACATGCGGTGTTTGGTTTATAGCAGTGCGGGAATGGACTAACACAAACCCCTTCAGTGACTCTCTGTTTCACTGATCTTAAAAGCCAAATTCCTTACAATGACATTCAATGCCGTGCAGGACCTGGTTCTCTCACAGCCCTGTGTTGTCTGAGGGAGCCAATGTTCCACTGGTTACACTGATCCAACCACACTGGCCTTTACTCTGATTTTTTTTTTTTTTTTTTTTTTTTTTTTGGCGAGAGAGGATTGCTATGTTGCCCAGGCTGCAGTGCAGTGGTGTGATCTTGGCTCACTGCAACCTCCACCTCCTGGTTCAAGTGATTCTCTTGCTTCACCCTCCTGAGTAGCTGGGATTACAGGTGTGCACTACCACACCTGGCTAATTGTTGTATTTTTGGTAGAGAAAGGGTTTCACCATTTTGGCCAGGCTGATCTCGAACTCCTGGCCTAAAGTGATCTGCCTGCCGCAGCCTCCCAAAGTGCTGGGTTACAGGTGTGAGCCACTGCTCGCAGCCTCCATACTGTGTCTTGAACATGCTGTGCATGCCTTTGCCTCAAGGCCTTTGCACTGATTCTTTCTTCTGCCTGGAATGCTCTTTCCCTAGAGATTACCCTCATCCCCTACAGGTTTTTGTTCATACGTCAACCTCTCAGGGAGGCCATCTGTTACTTCAGTATTTTTAAAATTATAAAGTAGCCCCTAACTTTTATCACTTCCTCTCTCTCTTTCCTGATGGATATTTCTCCATAGCACATGCACCATATAACTTTTCAAAGTTACTTTGTTTACTCTCTAGATGTTTCATAAACATAGAGAGGGATTCTTGGCTGTTTTGTTCATTGCTATTGTCCAGCTGCCTAGAATGGATGAATGAATTGGATATTTAGTTATAAAGGAGCTTCATTGGGTTTGTGAGATTTGGGGACTGGCCATAAGCTCTTGAAGAGTAGCTGCCACCAAGACACAGGCTTTCCTGCACGAATTATTATCCGTGACTCCAGCATTTTTAGGGAAAAGTAACCTCATCTTTATGACACTAGAATTAATTTTTAGATTTTCTAGTGGGTGAATATTTTTAAAGCACTTAGAACAGTGCCTGGGACATGGTATGAGCTCTATAAGTGTTTATTTTAAAAGCAACAAATACTTTATTAAGCATTTTGTGACAAAAAAAATAGTGACAGAATGTGAGCCAAGACAAATAAACCTCAAGAGGTTCAGAGTAGCCCTAATTCTGATGGAGAGCAGCTTTAATCATCCTAGAGCTGGAGTCAAGTCTGATGACTTACTAGAAAAACAGCGATAGTCACATGCCCTCTCTATTCTGGAAGAAGCAAAACTACCCTGTGTACTCGATGGGATTATAGATACAAAGAGATTTATGGAATGAACTCTAAAGAACTGGTTTTAAACTTAAGTCCATTAAAAAAATGATTATGAAAAGAAAACTTCAGAGGTACGGACTGAGGCAATAGAAGAGGAAAAGGGCTTATATGACATCCATTCATTCATTAGATGAATAGTTATGCCCTAAACACTATGTTAGGGCCTAGGAGCTGCCTTCTAGGATCTCATAATCTAGTAGGAGAGAGACAGATTAACCAACAGTGACCAATTCAGCCTTAGTACTGCCATAGAGGTGAGCCTAGAGTGCCGTGAGCATTGGATTGCTTCCTCATCCTATTTGTGATATGAAAATAAATGAAAATAAATCAGTTGCTTCCAACTAAAGGTAGTTGGAACAGAGCTCACCTGTTTTTATCTCTGCTCCCTGTGGAAGTCCCATCAAAATGAAAGTAATGAAATTGAAAAAGGCATGAACCAGTGGTTTTTAACCTTGGCTGAACTTTTGAAATAGCAGCAGAGATTTTTAAAAATCTTAGTGCCCAGCCTGAAGCCCAGACAAATTGAATCAGAACCTCTGCAGATGAGACTCAGGTATCAAGAGTTTTATGCTATAATTTTTTTCAAAGAAAATAAGAGACAACCTTACACATAAGAAATCAATAGCATTGAGAACTTGAAAAAGGCTGGGCCTGAAATTAACTTAGCAGAACTAAGAATCCTAAAAACTGAACAATTTCTGGGGGAAGGGAGGCTTGAAGGATACCAATTAGAAGCAGCAAGATCTTTCCCATGGTAGAACTTTGGGAAGGTTCGGGAATTGGAGAGACTGGGTATGGGGTGAAGTGAAGACCTGGAGGATTGGTTGAAAGTCTGTATTTGGAGCAGAAGGCCCAGATTTTATCCCAAGACTGCCCCCATCCCTCCCCCTGGTTTGCTCTCTGGAGATATGGAATGAGAAAGGGCCTCAGGTATAGTTGAGGGGAAATGTGAGGCTGGCCTTGCACTAGAGTCACTCTCCTGAACACCTCGATGTCCTTCTGAAAATACTGGCCGTCAGATTGGTGCTGCCTGGCAGGAAACGGGAGGATGCAGCTCTGGGCAAACTGATCCAAGAGGGAAATCCAGTCAGATGCTGGCATGGGAGAGTGCAGGCCCCTTTGTAGCACACCCTGTGGTGATTCCCACCCATCCACAAACCCGTCCACATGCAAGATTCTTCTATACAGCTTTGGAGGCCTCATTTTGAATAAGAAAGGACATCAAAGATCACCAGATATTTGAGGAAAGTATCTGAAGTGAAAGACAAAGACCAAAACAGACAGGTGAAAATAAATAAACAAAGGGAACTCAGAAAAAAAAAAAAAAAAACACACATTCTACTGAGCAGAAAAAAATTAAAATGTATGTGTAGATAGATAGATAGTTATAGACATATAGACAGATAGCTGATGGATGGATGGATGGATAGGTGGATGGATGGATGGATGAAAGGGTGGATGGATGGATGGATGAAAGGAAGGATGGATGGATGGATGGATGGATAGATAGATAGATAGATAGATAGATAGATAGATAGATAGATATCAGGACTATATTGCAAGGCATGATACAGTGCTCTCACTGGTGCAGCACCTGTGCTCTGCAGCCAAAGTGTGAGTTTCTGTCCTGGCTTCATCACTTCCTAGCTGTGTGATGCTGGGCAAGTTACTTACCCTCTCTGTCCCTTAGTTTTCTCATCTGTAAAAAGAGGGATGATGATGATGCTGTTCAAATAACAAAAAGGAACTGTTGGAAATTATGAATATGATGGCAGAATATAAAGTTTTAGGGAAAAGTTGAGGAAATTCTAAGAATAATCAAAAAGACAAAGAAATGGAACATAGAAACAACAAGAAAAAGAGACACTAAACCTAAGAGGTACAAAATCAGAGTTGCAGGGAGAGGCATACACAGGGAGAGAGACAGATGGACAGACAGAGAGACAGGAAATCATGAGAGGAATGACCAACCTTTCCCAGTAGTGAAGGACGCGAGTTCAGACTGAAAGAGCCTCTTTAGTGCCCGCATGATTGATGGAAAAAGACCCAGTCTAGGGCACGACACTGACATTTTTAAACACTGACGATGAAATAAAGATCCCAAAAGTTTCCGGAGAGCAGAAAACAGATCACATAAAAAGAATTGGAACTTGAGTGGCAGAGGGGATAACCAAGTTCTAAGCAATGTGGACTGATTCTGGAAAGGACACCCTATTTCCAGGACATAAAACTTGTTTGATTTAGATACACTTGTCACTGTAAAAAGTAGCTCTTATGCATTTGGCAGAGTCGGGGCTCAACTCTTTGCTCAGTGATTCTCAAAATCCCATCTCTCCTTTGTCCAGAAGCATCTATTTCTTTTATTTTTTAATTAACGTGAAAAAGTATTAAATTTACCTTCCTTTCGTCTTCCTCTACTTCCCTCTCCCTTTCCCTTGCCCCTCTTGTTTCTTCTCCCTTTCCCTTACTTTACCTTCTGAGCCTTCATACTTTTGCTGCGTCTATTTCTGTCTCTCTTTCTCCGTTTCTCTTTCTATCCACAGAAGTCTTATGTTTGTCTAATAATTGGCAGAAGAGATCTTTTTTTTTTTTTTTTCGCTTTTTAAGCGATGAATAGTTGGCGTCACATCAAAGACAAGCCCTGTGGTTTTCTGGCTGCCCCAGAAGGGCGGTGCAGCTGGCAGGCATCCCAGCTGCCTGGTGACAGGCGTGTGGAAGAGATACCAGGCTCACAGGTCACTGTGTATGTGTTCATGTACGTGTGTTTTTCAGGCCAACAGCAGGCTGAAGCAGATCGAGAAGGAATACACTCAGAAGCTTGCCAAATCTTCACAGGTAAGCAACATTAAAAGACAGAAAACCAGGTAAAACCAAAACAAAAATGAAACCTCCACATCAACCTTTGTACAAGTTAAACTTCATTCTTTTCAGTTTTTTTGTGAAATGGTATATTTTTATGCGTATACAAATAAACAGAATATGGTTTTAATATTTCAGTCATTAAAAATCAAGAAAAATTAGGCATATTTAACCACTTGAAACAACACACACATGCGCACGCGCGCGCACACACACATACACACTCAGATGTTGTAAAACCAGCCTGTACACTTGAACAAGCCCAGGCTGAAACATACTTCACAAGGACAGGAGATACACACCTACATTTGTGATGTAAGCAGTTTGGTACTATCTGTGCTTTTTTGGTAATATTCCATTTTGCTCTACCTAAAGCCTTCTTCAAACAGAATTCAAAATGACAAATAATTCTAGGTTAAGTCTGCAGCTCAACTGTTGACTCCTTTTGGGAAAAAGAGAATTCTAAGTCCCTACATCCATAACTTGCTATTTGTACTTACTGTTGTCGTTTTAGTATAAGAAAGGCCAATAATTGAATGCCTGTCTCTACTTGAAATACGATGCTCAGAGTACTTTTTCAGCATAAGTCGTTACAGTGATATCCAATAGTGTCATTTAAGGAACTCCAAGTATTCCTTACTTGTGTAAGTGATTCTAGAACAAATAAATACTACTTATCTTTACTCTGCAGGTAGGTAGGTAAGTTAAGCCATTTGGTTTTGTGAGCATATCTAATGATTGGTAAAACAAGCTTGTCTTCATATTTTTTTATATATACAGTGGTATTTGGTAGTAAACTAGAATTTACCATACTACCACATACTGCCACATAATAGTAGTAACAACAACAAAACAATAATAATATCTAATGTTCATGGGGCACTAACCATGTTGACTCATTCAGTCTTTCACAATAACTCTGGAATTAGGAACTATTATTGGTGCCATTTTTCCATTTGCGAAAACTAAGATTCAGAGAGATAAGATCACATAAGTTGGCAAGTAACTAAGCCGGGACCCAGTCTGGATCTGACTTCAAAGTGGAAGTTCTTAACCTTAACATTACCAGCCTGGTCCAATCCCTTCCTTTTTTTTTTTTTTTTTTTTTCTTTCCCGAGACGGAGTTTCGCTCTGTTGCCCAGGCTGGAGTGCAGTGGCGCGATCTGGGCTCACTGCAAGCTCCACCTCCCAAGTTCACGCCATTCTCCTGCCTCAGCCTCCCGAGTAGCTGGGACTACAGGCTCCTGCCACCACGCCCGGCTAATTTTTTGTATTTTTAGTAGAGACAGGGTTTCACCATGTTAGCCAGGATGATCTCGATCTCCTGATCTCATAATCCGCCTGCCTCAGCCTCCAAAAGTGCTGGGATTACAGGCATGAGCCACTGCGCCTGGCCCATCCCTTCCATTTTTAATATGACAAAACTTTGGTGATAGTTATAAAATTTCATTTTTTTGTTTGTTTTTGAGACAGAAGTTTCGCTCTTGTCGCCCAGGCTGTAGTGTTATCACATGGTCTTGACCCGCTGCAGCCTCCACCTCCAAGTTGGCTTCAGGCGATTCTCCTGCCTCAGCCTCCTAAGTAGGTGGGATTACAGGCACACACCCCCACACCCAGTTAATTTTTTGTATTTTTAGTAGAGACAGGGTTTCACCATATTGGTCAGGCTGGTCACAAACTCCTGACCTCAGGTGATCCGCCCTCCTCCCAAAATGCTGGGATTACAGGTATGAGCCACCACACCTGGCCTAAAATTTCAGTTCTATGAAATCACATCCCATTAGAAAAGCAAAAAGTCTTTGTCCAAATGAAGAGTCATATGTGTTTGTGTAAGAAATGATAATTATGTCTTGACTGCCATTATTCCAACCCTTCCTTGAGGAAAGAACATGAGAAATACCCTTTTAATCCACTGAAAAAGATTCTTGCAATCAAAAGAAATCTATTTAGGCCAAAAGTTAAAGTTTAAATTAAAACATTAAAAATCCCCAGTTGGCATATCCTAACATCCTGCTTATTTCGCTTTATGTTAAATGAGGGAAACAGACCGAGAGTGAGATATAAGATAGCTAATAAAAATGCCTGAATAATGAGAGTGTAAACAGGAGTATTTATCTAAAGGAATGTATGAAGAAGCCTGATTAGTTGATATTAAAACAAATTAAATATAAGTTAATGCAGAAGAAAGCCTGAGCTCTGGAGTCCAGCACCCCTGGATTTGAATACCAGCCCTACCACTTCCATGACCTTGAGCAAGTTACCTGCCCTCTTTGGAATTCAGTTTCCTCATTTGTCAAATAGAGGAGCAGTACCAACCTCATAGGATGGTTTTAACTATGAAGTAAAACAATGCCAAAAATGTGTTCAGTATAGTGCCTAGCACACACTAAAGCACTTAATGAGTGTCAACTATTGTAGTATCAGCACTAAAATTGCCATAGAGAAAGAGGAAAGGAGGGAGGGAAGAATGAAAAAAAGTTAGGAAGGTGGAACAGAGTATTGCTTCAGACACCATGTTTTTGGGTGTTCACAAATTGATAAAATCTCCCTGAAAAGCTTGGAGAGGCATAGGGTTGCTAACTGTTTTCCCAAGGAAAGACTTGAAGGTGGAGAAGGAAAAACCAACTAGTAACAACTGTCATACACTATTACCGTCATTTCATTAATCAAGGGACAGCGCAACACCAAAAAAATCTTAGAAAGGGTGTAATATAATAAAAGATAGTCCATCCTTTTCATAAAAGTTAGGATGATAACCTTACATTGATAATATTTTGTTTGCCAACTTCTAAATATTTATATCTGTGAACTGGCATTTGAGAAGCATTAGTCTACAGTGCCAGTCAGTTCAGAGAAGCATGTCAGATTATTTTAAAATGAGCATTGTGAAACAAGACTGTGGATTGGATCTCTCCATATTTCAGTGATAGTTTGTTGGAATCTCTAACTCATATCTCATTAAGCTGATGAGAACACTAAAACCAAAGTTGCTTAACTCTGTTGGGTTTTCAAAAATCCCTCTCTGAAAAAAAGAAAATGAATGCATTAGTAATGAATGTGTTGGTACCTCAGAGAGCATAAGATTAAATTTGGAAAATATTTTAAAGATTTTCCTCCTTTAGAGGAAGCTGCTTACTTTTCACAATTTTATCAAGCCTTTAGGACCTAATAGAGCATGTACATTGAACCCTTGGCACACCTGAGAACCGTGCCCATTCTGAGATCTGCAGCACTCACCCTCGCCACCACTGCAGTGTTTGCATCATCTCTGGGCATGCCCCCAAATATCATTTCCATCAGAATCACATATTTTTTAATCTTAATAAAAGAATGCAGATGATGCAAACACTGCGGTCGTGATGAATGCTGGAGTTTACTCCTCTTAAAACATTGAAATAATAAGTGATTATATATTTACCTTGTCTCTTCAATATTAATACAGTTTTCCCCACTCAGCCCAGTCATCTAGTGGCCATTTTTCAAGGAAAGATACTGCCATTTTGCCAGAATGTCCACAGTTAGAAACATGGGCAGGACTGAAGTTTGAATGCCAGTTGAGCTTGCCTGCTGCCAAGGGACGAGTGTCTCCTACTGCTGCCCCACACTGCCCAACACCTGAGGCGTATTAGTACCTGGGACTATTCCGCATGACCCCTGTGCCCATCTCTGTGCCAGCCTCCTGGGGGCCAACCCAGAATGCACGGGGCATCCACTTATTTTATGAGAAGCTTCAGTGTTCACCTAACCTTCCTAAGCATGGCTTCTTAAGTGGCATGTCTTCTCTATTGTATCATGTTTTAAAGAAGAGTTTTATAAAACTCTCAAACTGTACTATAATCTGAAAAACAATAGAATGAGTTGAAGATGAAATCCTAACGCCTATTTAGGATCCTGTTCGTTTGATTTTTTTTTTAAGACCACTAACATTTTTGCAAAGCATTAATTGCTTAATAATTATTGTTAACTATTATTAACTATTATGACTTTCATGAGTTCGGGTGCTTATGCCATCAGCTCAAAATAGCTCTCCTTTTGTTTCTGAAAATACTAATTTTTGATATCCATATGAAAATTATCTAATCCACTTCTTTCATTGAAACTAATACAGTATAAACATTTAGTTGAGTGGTAGCATTTTGTTTATGGTTTTTAATTATGATTCAATCAAAACTGGAGGGTTTTGATTATGATTGTATATGTTAGCTTTCATTTTTCTTAGAACCTTTTTTTAACATTATTATTCTACAAGAAGGGTAGGTTAACTGAATACAATTTGCCAGGTGACGGTTTTTTATTACTTACCCCGATTATAGTTCTACCACTTAAACTGGGTGCCAGTTATTATATACACTGAGCTTAGGAGAAAGTAGTCCATTTTCTTATACTCTAGGTCTACGACCAGTAGAGTTTTGTTCCTTACCTGAAGCATGTTAATCTGATTATTATGATTATTTCTCAGTCTTAAAGTATTAAATCTTGTTTTTTAAATTATCCTTATTTTAGTTACTGTTCCATATCCGTATCACCTGTGAATCTATTCAACCAAATAATTTATCTATTTATCTAGCCAAGTTGTTTCACCTGAAGTGTTTTAACATTCTCCCCCTTATGTCGCCTTCCTGAGTTTTAAAAATAGCTTTCCAAAAATAATCTCATTATTTCCCCCAAAGGAAACTCTCCTTGTTCCCCCAAAGAATATAAGGTTTTATTTTCCACACAAAAGCAAGCATGTCCTTCTTAGAACATCCTGGACTTCACTTGTAGTCCCTTCCAAAACCTGCATTTTTTTCTTTCTTTCTTTCTTTTTTTTTTTTTTTTTTGAGATGGAGTTTCACCCTTTTTGCCCAGGCTGGAGTGAAATGGCGTGGGGCTCACGGCAGCCTCCACCTCCCAGGTTCAAGTGATTCCCCAGCCTCAGCCTCCCGAGTAGCTGAGATTCCAGCGTGTGCCACCACGCCTGGCTAATTTTTTGTATTTTTAGTAGAGACAGGGTTTCGCCATGTTGGCCAGGCTGGTCTCGAACTCCTGGGCTCAGGTGATCTGCCCACCTCAAAACCTGAATTATTTTGTCCTATATGTTCTGAAAATGAGAAATATCCCTGTTCCATGGCCTTTGACTATTTGAAGTATCCCAGTATATTTTTATCTTTATTCTTTGGTCAGTTACAAGCTAGTCTCAATCTCAGTATTGTTTTAAGAAAAAAATACTTTGTACTTTAAAAATATATCGCATGACTGCGGTTGTGGATATATGAATCTATACATGTGTCACACTGCACAGAACTAAACACACACACACACCCTGTCTCTCTCTTGCCCTTCTTCTCGCTCCAGAATTAAACCCACTTCTACAAAGTTATAGTGTACTCAGCTTAAAACATTGAAATAGTAAGTTGTTTGTTACTATTTGGTCCCATGTTCTCATAAAAGATCAATCTTAAATTTCATAGTAGGCCAAGGAAATCTGACTTGTTTTCATCCCTGGCTCCTCTGGCTCTGTGACTGTGAGTTGACTGTTCTGCACATCAATTTTTGACATTTACTATGAGAATTTAACCTTTCCTGTTTCACGGAAGTGCTATGAGAATTAATTGAATTGATGCCAGAATGAAAACAATATTTAATCAAAATTCAGAAAATGGATGAAAACATCTTCATTCTCAGTAAATGAATGTCTCCACTCATAGCAGAAGGCTCAAGTTTGCATATAATAATATTGACATTGCTATTATATATTTTGTCATTTCACAATTGGCTAAATATTTGATTATTGACAAATTCTAAGTGTCAAACTTTGGTACAGTGAATTTACTCACTTCTCAAAGCATAAATACTCCATATTTTATTGTCAAGATGCTACTATTTATGTCAGTAGTAACAACTAGTATTTCTATAGCATTTGGCTTCTGGGGGACTCCAGACAGTTTCTGTTTATTGCCTTATAATGCTGTAATCTCCTTTTGTAGTTGGAAAAACTGAGCTGCAAGAAAGATAACTTGTCCAGTGTTTCTCACCAACTGCCCTCCCCCGTGCTTAGGACCAAAAGAATTATAGTCTAATGCGGGCCTAATGTTGTTTCTTTTATTAGAAGAAATGACTATTTCCTGCTTTTAAAAAGTCATCGCTATTGAATTTGCAAGGAAATGGATACATCCAAACCAAAGGAAGGACAGTGCTCTCAGAAGGCTAATTCAATATAAAAGTTTCTCATCAGATGGTTAATTTGAGAAGTTGGAAGAACCCTGTCTGGGAGAGAACAGATTCTTAAATGTAGGGAATACTACAGGAGTGAATGAAAATGGCACCATGTAAACCAAAATAACTATCCATGAGTTAGGAAGAAGACAACTATTTGGAAGTATAAACTTCCCTACAATACCAAAACCTTGTTGTAAGGAAACATAACGGAGTGGCCAAGCATGGTGGCTCACACGTGTAATCCCAGCACTTTGGGAGGTTGAGGTGGGCAGATCACAAGGTCAGGAGTTCGAGACCAGCCTGGCTAATATGGCAACACCCATCTCTACTAAAAATACAAAAATTAGCTGGGCATGGTGGCCTGTAGTCTCAGCTACTCAGGAGGCTGAGGCAGGAGAATGGCGTGAACCCAGGAGGTGGTTACATTGAGCTGAGATCGCACCACTGTACTCCAGCCTGGGTTACAGAGCGAGACTCCTTCTCAAAAAAAAGAAAGAAAGAAACAAACAAACAAACATAAAGTTGGCAGGCTAAAGGACCCAGTTAGTGCAGTGATGGGTCTGACTGCATGGTTCAAATCCTTCCTGTCTCTTTAGTTGGATATCATTTTCAACAATGTAAGATATTTGTCCTTTTTCTGTGCCTCTGTGTCCTCATTTATAAAAGATAGGCAGTCCAGACACAGTGGCTCACGCCTGTAATCCCTGCACTTTGGGAGGCCGAGGTGGATGGATCACCTGAAGGTCAGGAGTTCGAGACCAGCCTGGCCAACATGATGAAACCCCATCTCTACTAAAAATACAAAAAATTAGCTGGGCGTGGTGGCAGGCACCTGTAATCCCAGCTACTCAGGAGGCTAAAGCAGGAGAATCACTTGAACCCAGGAAGCAGAGGTTGCAGGGAGCCGAGATCGCGCCATTGCACTCCAGCCTGGGCAACAAGAATGAAACTCCGTCTCAAAAATAAAAATTAAAATAAAAAAAAATAAAAGATAGGCAATAATAATTCTTGTCTCACAGTAGTATATGACATAAGAATGTAAAGTGTTAAACACAATACACAAACGTTAGTGAATTCCCAGAAATTACTGTCTAGAATTAGGTGACTGAAGAATAAACTCTGTTCATTATTTTCTTTGGTTATTACAGTTCAAAGCATTATGAAAAGCAGAATAGCTTTTCTCATTCTAATAAGTATATTTCTCAGTAAAATAAAATCTGACACTTTTCATATTTTTGAGATCACAGATGTTCTTTCTTCTGATGAGTAAATATTGTGGAATGTTAGAGTGGAAACGTCTTCCAAGTATATTTGGTTCAGCAGTTGTTCACCATTCACAGTTTTATTAAAGTCTTTTATTGTATGGAATTTCATGCATTATAGTGTGTGATATGTTAATTGAAAATATTTAATTTGTGGAATAGAGTTTTGTCAAATCCATTCTTTTGTTAAGCATCAATACATATAAATAGATGCCTCTCCCAGAAGAATTTGAAGTTATAGCATGCTGTTTTCATTTTAGATCATAGCAGAACTTCAGACAACCATTTCCTCTCTGAAAGAGGAGAACAGCCAGCAGCAGCTTGCTGCAGAAAGGCGGCTCCAGGATGTTAGACAAAAGTTTGAAGATGAGAAGAAGCAGCTGATTAGAGATAATGACCAAGCAATCAAGGTAATCTGAAGACTTCAGTAACCAGTGGTACCAGCTGCTTTAATGTAATTAAAAGGAGGGCTGAAATCCCAGCAGTGGGCAGATGAATGCGGGTATCTGGCTTGTTCACACAGCCTGCAGTAATTCCATTCACTGGACTCTACCTTTGATGTATCCAGTGACTCAGGGTGACTTCCCTCGAAGAGATCGCATGCCAGCATAAACAGTCATTTTTGGCAAGCCCAGTCCATTCACATTGAACAGATATTTTAAAAATACCCTGTCCTTTCTCTTGAGAACCACTTTGGAACTGTCTCTTGAAATTAGAATGACTGTTTGAGCCTAGCACTGCCGGCTGTTAAAGTCAGAAGTCAGCTTCCAATTTGCATTCTGTTCTTTGCCCACATCCTTTCATTATGTATTCGCATAATGAGAAATAACCTGTTCGAAGCTTGGAATGCCAACCATTTGATGTGCTTCGACACAGTACAGGAAAGATGTGTTTTTGCTGAGAAACTAGGTTGTTTCCAAATGACTTCAGAGAATCACACCCTTAATAGCAACAGAAAATTCCCTGGACCCCGATTCTTTCGGTGATAGGCAGTTAGATCTCCAAGTAGTTTTTTCTTGGCTTCATAGCAGTGAATATTATTGTAAGTGTCTACATCATACTGGATTTAATCTGTGAGGATAAGCATCTGGAAACCTTTATAAATAAGGCTTAAAAGAGAACAAAAAAATTTTAAAGAATTCCCAGCAAAAGATTATTTTTCAGCGACTTTAGTTTGACATAACAATACTCAAAGAGTGTAGAGTCATCATACAAAGCAAAGAACGATAGAAGAAAAATTTGGGTTTTATAGCTGCCCTTTCCTGCCTGACCTCTGCATCTTCTTTTTCTATAGCCTATTGCAGGCAATCTGAGTAACGTTGGGAAGAGTTAGTGTTAATGTCAGTTGCTTTTTATGTATTCCCTTTAAGCTGAGACAACAGTAGACAGAATAAAAAGCCTTAACAGATGGACAAAACCTTCAAGGCCTTTACATCCGGCCTCCTCACTTTACCAGTGAGGACTTATTTTTTTGTTAATGACATTTTTCCTATATATTTCCACCTGCAAGCTTAATTCCCCTACCTGTGTTATGGAGACCAAAAAAAAAAAAAAAAAAAAGATTTTTTTTTCATATTCTAGTGGTTTAGAAACATCTTTCAAGTTTTTTTTCAATTACAAATGTACAGGAAGCGCCCCCATTGATCTGTGTAACAGATCTCGCTTCACATAAATTGTGTTGCATATTTTGTTTAAATTGTTTTAGTTCTATAAAATTTCCATATTAGGTGGATTTCTTTTTCACTTTATGTCCAAATACCAAGTGATAGGTAATATCCAAATTTTAAATGAACAATCAAATCTCAATATAAGCAAAAATGGAAAATATTAATGTACTCCTGACAACGTAGTTCTGGTAGTTACTTGATGATTTAAAAAATCTTGAAAGAATTATAATTAGTACAGTTGCTCATTTTAAACTAATTCTTACAGTTTTAATTATTTATTTTTTAAATTATTTAATAATCAATTTTTAAATTATTTAATAATAATTTAATTAATTCTTACAGTTTTATAATATATATAGAAACCATATGTACCATATGTTACCTGAAAATAAAAAATTAAAATTACAATGTAGGTAAGATATAGCTAAGTTTTGATTCACTCACTCAGATTATACATAAAGTAAATGACATTTCTTTTTTACTAACCTACATTAAAGTTGCTAAGGTCATTGATTCATTAGCGCTCATTGCCTTGGCTCCTTTTTTAAGGCTATATCACAAAAAGTACTGCGAAAAATAGCTGATATTTACTCAACATGTACCATGTTTCACGCTCTGCCATTTTCATTCATCTCATGTTCCATTATCTCATTTAAGCCTTATAGTAATCTTCATGAGGAAGGTATTTCTGTTATCCCCATATTACAAATGGGGAAACTGAGACTATGAGGTTAAATAACTAGCCCAAGATCATCCTGCTGAACAATTGGCAGAGACAGTTTCAAGCCACAATCTGTCTTACTTGAGAGCCTCAACTACTAACTATTATACCATACCCCAGTGTAGTACATTCTGTCCATGAAAATGACTCAAATGACCAAGTGCCAAAATGAACCTAGATATTGTCATTCTGTTTTTCTCTCTTCATGAATGATATAACATTTTTGCAGCAGTTGTTTGATTTGGACATTCTGATTATATTTAAGTGTTTTGTATACATAGATTTAGGTACATGAGTAGATATTGATACTCAGAAAGAGGCACAGCCACTATGAGGCTTGATTTTCTGGGACCAAATACATTTGTCTGCAGATGTATTCAATAGAGACATAAAAGTAGTGTGCATGCTAATTGTGAAACATACTTCACTCCACTTCTGGGTTGATGATGAACTGAGCTCTTTCAAGCTGGTGATCGAGAATGGAGACGGAGAGTAAACCTAGTACTCATTCTGTCAGAGCTTATAATAATATTTCTGCAGATAAATCATTAAACTAATTCTAGAGAAAATTTGAAATATACTAAAATCCACTTAAAGGGTCACCAGTCAGGTGCAATATAACTTGATAAAACATTTCTGAAGGATAATTTGGCAATACCTATCATTATTAAATTGCCTGAGAGACATACCTAGTCTTTGACCCATTTTCAGAATTTGCCCAAAGGTGGCAATTAATAATCGTACTAAACTTTAGCTAATCAAAAAATGCTTGTTCTGGCTTTCATCCTTTCAGTCAGTAATTATTTATTAAGCTCCTTTTATGTGACAGGTACCTGCAACACCGGCATTCTCTATATCCTTTCTATATTTTTAACTATAGCAAATACACTGAAAACATCATTTCCAAATAGCACTATAGGAAATGATGTTGGAGAGCATATTTAAGCGTATTGAAAATGTTCACAAGATATTTTTCAATGAAAATGCACATTCCAAAACATATAGATATGAGCTCGTTTTTGCAAAACAAAAGTATGACTCAAGAGAAAAAAAGACTACAGTTATATCAAAATTTTACTAGTGGATATCTCTAAGTGGCAGAATTTAAGATTTTTTTAGTTTTGTCTATATTTAAACTATAGCAACACTTTTGCAATGAGAAGCAATAAAAATTGGTAAAAAGGGAAAAGCTACCAGCCTGAAGAAATCCATTGAACATTGTGGGAATACTTGTAGGTGAGACTAACAGCAGGCATGATCCTCACTGTCCAAGAAACAACAGATGAAGTAAGGTCTTTTAAAAAACGGAATTCCTTTAGTGTAAAAAGAGTTACACAAATGAATGAAATTCATAAGAATAGATATTTTATTTTATTTTATTTTATTTTATTTTATTTTATTTTATTTTATTTTTTGAGATAATGTCTCGCTCTGTTGCCCAGGTTGAAGTGCAGTGGCACGATCTCAGCTCACTGCAACTTCTACCTCCCAGGTTCAAGCAATTCTCCTGCCTCAGCCTCCCAAGTAGCTTGGATTACAGGCACCCACCACCATGCCCAGCTAATTTTCGTAGTTTTAGTAGCAACAGGGTTTCACCATGTTGGCCAGGCTGGTCTCGAACTCCTGACTTCAGGTGATCCACCTGCCTCAGCCTCCCAAAGTGCTGCGATTACAGGCATGAGCCACCACATCTGGCCAAGAATAGATCTTTTATGCTGTAACACACTATCTTTTAAAAATCAACAGCAAAAAAACTTTATCGCTTATTTACTGCCTTAGCTCACTCCTTACATTCAAAGTCACACCTTTCAAAAGAGTTATCACCAGTGCATACCCCAAAACTTGGTGGCTTAGAGCAATAGCTATCTGCCCATAATTCTTTGGATCAGAAATTTGGGCAGGGATCAGCTGGGTGGTTCATCTGCTCGATGTATGGCATTGGCTGGGGTACTTCATGAGGTTACATTCAGCAGAAAGCTTGGCTGGGGTTGGAATGTCTGAGCTGGTTTCAGGCCCATGCCATATGGCCTTTCTCGCTAATAGATTAATCAGACTTTTCACTTAGTAGCTGATGTCAGAGAGAATTAAAAGGGGTAAAAGCAGAACCTGCATTTCCATTAAGCCCTGCCCTGGGAAGATTCACAAACTCACTTCCACCACGTTCTATTGATCAAGATAGATCATAGGGCCAGCCCAGAATCAAGGAGAGGAGAAACAGTGGCCATTCTCTCAGCGGGAGGAATGGCATAGATTTTGAGGCCATCTTAAATCTACCACAGTAGTCGATACTAAAGGTCCAGTTTTTATCTCCCATTTATTCCTCAACTATACAAAATAGTACAAAGAGGAAAATATCTATATTCCTACTACCCATAATCAACATTAATTAACATCGTGGCATATTTGCATCCATCTTTTTTATAAAGAAAATCTATTCTCTTGTTTTTGAAGAAGTAGAAATGTCATATGCTCATTTATAAATATTTAAAATGCAAGAATAAAGAAGTAACAGTTTTTAAAGTCACCTCAAATCCTATCACCCAGAAATAACCATCATAGAATTAAGGTAAACATTATTTCCGATATCCTACTATGTATAAGGCGAAAAGAACAGAAAGCTGAGTAGGCTTTTGAAATGAATACTATAGATTTTTTGTTGTTGTTTTAGAAAAATCTTTAATTTTACTTTAATTCAACAGATGAAAGAAACTAGAGTAAAACAGAGGAATTGTTGAAGTTTTGGACAAAATATGTTGATTTCGGCTGAAAAACATGTACATTTGCACCCTCATAGTTTCTCCCATATGAGGAGAGAACCCTTCCTACCTTGGATAGTAGTAGTATTTTCACACTGTCAGGGTTTATGATATTCACCATTTTTAAACCGTATCCTATAGTTTAATTCTCATGCTATATTTCCATCTATGCAGTGCTTATACTAGGCCTTTTACCATAGTGTCTCCATTCCCACAGTTTTTACTTTCATTTGTTTCTTAATTGGCTGGATGGTGCTGTCTTCCCTGAGTTTTTTCATGTTTAAGAATGTCTGCTGGCTAACCTGTATGATTGAATGGCATGTTACATGGGTGCAGTGTTCCTGTTCACATTTTCTTCCCATGTGTAAACACGGCTCATCGAGCATTTAAGATTGTTGTGAGAAGCCTGGGCTAGAGAGACCAGCAGACATGACCCACAGACTTTTCTGTCTGCAGACCAGCAGACATAGACAGAGTGCTCCTCCATGGAAGTGATTTGCATTTTCTGAGGCATTCCTGAAGAAGTCTTTCTTTCTCATGTAAGTGTAGTAGATTAACCAGGATAAATTCAATAAGTGACTGAGATATGTCTACATGTTCAGTATTCAAATAGCAAATGAAGCATAGTGGTTCTCCTTGTAAGTGAAACTGACTTGTAGTGTCTCTGTGTATTCTCTGACCTGAGGGAAGGGGAAGGCAGAGCTGGCGCACAAACCAGCATGCATCTGGCTGAACTGACTGTTCTCGCTTTGAGATTATGTTAAGTGTGTTTCAGGGTTCACACTGCCGACATGGGAGCGGCATCTTCTTTTCCTTTGAGTTTTTAATGATCCCAATTTTGTGTATATCCCTGATGTCCTTTCCTCTGAGGTGGCCAGCCCTGATGTTTATCTGTTTTTCTGCCACATCCATCTCCCCTACTCTCAGCCAGAAGAGGAAAAAAATGAGGCTGCCATGCCATTTCCTTCCTCCAAATTTGGTGATAGTATTGAGAATTCTCAGGATTTTGACTCATAACAAAATAATGATCCTAGGGGCACGGCAAGTTTTGAAGTTAAGCCCCTGTGCAACTCTTCACTGTGCTCCAGAATTATGTTTCTTTCCTTGACCCCAGATTTTTGATGGTTTTTTGTATGATGTCTACCTTATCACCCGATATTGTTCTGTTGGTGTATTTTTGCTGGCTTTTACTCTTCTTGACTCATTTTATTTGGTGTTGGGAGAGGGATATTAAATCTACTATCTAATCTGAGAAGCCTATTTGACTTCTTTATCACATTTAACAAGGATCTTCTGCTGCTCAGATATTACCACAATAATGCTGCCTAACAAACACTTTTGAAGACTCAGTGACTTTCGCTCACATTTATTTTTTTTTTTTTGCAACATGTCTGCGGGTCGCTGTTGTGGCTCAGATTCAGAATATGCATTGACTGACTGGGTTTGACTCCAGGCTTTAGATCAGATTCAGGCCAGCTCTACGCGTTTGTACAGTCGGCTTGGACTAGTAGTTGTCTAGGATATCCTGTTCATGGTAAATTACAGAAGTGCAAGAGGATGGATTGAAAGAAAGCCCTGCATCCTCAGCCTCATTTCTGTCCACGCCAATGAGGCAGGGAAATTATATACTGACTCTAGTTAGAAGACCATGAACACCTGTGAACAATGATTTAATCTGCATGGACTAGCCTCTAAAAACTTTCTTAGCTCTATGGCAGCACTTT